TCTGCAAGGGACAGGGCAAGTGCCCTACCCACATTACTATCTCTCTGGCCCAGTACGCCGTTTTTAGAAGACATTATCAATCTGATGTGTTTCCCCCTTGCATCTTCCCCTTCATTCCGGTATTTATTTTCCCTTTCCCTCCCTTTCTTGCTGAGGCTGAGGGTCGCACACTCTAGGTGGTGGTCTCCCACTTGGGGGGGGGGGTCCCCACTCGGCCTGCCAGAACTCCAGCCATGCCCAATTTTCCCTATTTCCAGTGAAGAATGTGCCATAGGAAAAACATCTGGTTGAAAACTCAAATAAATCAATGCTTTTGGGTCTACAGATTCTCTTAAGGGCCTCAGCATGGAGAAACCTCACCCCACAGAAGAAAGAGCCAGAGTTCTGGCCCGGGCACCCCTAAGAGCCAACCTGACACTTTGAAAGAGAAATTTTTCAGAAGTGCTCCCTGTCATAAAGATAGTAAACAAAACATATAAAATCATATTTGCAAACAAAACACAACCTTTCAGAAAAAGACAATATTTGAAAAAGAAAAACTCCAGGGGGCCAGATAGATAGTATAGTGGGAAGGTGCTTCCCTGGCATCAAATGTCAAATATGGACCCCTGAGGACCCCCAAGAGTAACCCCTGAGCATCATCAGGTGAGGCCCCAAGCAAAAACCAAAGCAAAGCAAACAAATAAATATGTGCTGAAAATAACCAGTAGGAAACGGGCTAGGACAGGCATGTGGGAGAAACAAAATTTCCCGCACACCCTGCACCCAGCCCTGAGGTCACACTGCAGAACCTCAAGAGTTTGAATGAAAAATGTAAGCAATTTTATTTCTAGAAAATGAAAATGTAAGATGAAAGTCTTCAGGGCTTGCCAAGACTCAATCAAGGGGAAAGGTGAGTCATGGAAACAAAATCACTCACAAAGGGCTAACTGCAAAAACGCAGTGACAGACTTGACTATTTCTGGCTGAAGCGCCCTGCCTTCCACTCTCAAAGCTTCCTCCACAGCCACAGTCAAGTCAGGGTGGGACGGGCACAAGGACAAACATCGAACAGCAGCAGAGAAACACCAGAAATCAACACATTTAAGGACAACTGATTTTTGAGAATTCCGTAAAAGCAACAATTTTAATCCAATTTGTTAGAACAGGAGGGTCTCCATAAGCAAGAGGAGCAGCGGTCTGAGAGACAGCACAGGGGAAGGCGCTGGTCTTGCACGCAGCCAATCTGGGTTCTAGCCCCAGCACCACATATGGTCCCCGAGCAAGCGCAGGAGTGATCCTTGAGCACAGAACCAGGAGTAAACCTTGAGCACTGCTGGGTGTGGCCCAACTCCCATCTCTCCCCAAAAGGAAGAAACTGGACACTTCCAGGAATCACTAAAATGCCAGCGTGAGTGTCCCCATCACAAAAGAGGCAGAAATGAGTGTCAAGTTCAAAGGGCAAATACTGAACTTACTCTGAAGGCGCCCTCCGACTCCATGGAGAGAAGGTCCCCGTCGAAGGGAATGAGGTCCAGGCTGTACTCCTCCCTATGGATGAAGGAGCCCAGGACGCGCAGGTCCTTCAGCCGCTGCTCACACAGCAGGCTACGCCGGGGCACAAACAAAATGTGGAAATCTCTTGTGGGGCCACGTCTGTCTTCACTGCAAGAGAAGGACCGTGCGTTGGCCCGAGGCCCCGACTCGAGGACTGCTCCCTAGGGCCCCACCTGTGCCTGACACACAGTGGGCTCTAAAGAGACGCTTATGAGCTAACCGCCCACTACCGACTCGGCCCAAGTTTCGAGTTTTCCTGCTCTCTTGATGTGATGCTTTTTCTGGAAACCACTGACCTGTGCTCTGCCAAGGGGCAGTGCTGCTTTCTCTTGGGCCATTGATGGGACATGAAAACTCTCAGGGTTGGGGCTGGAGCAACAGCGCAGCGGGTAAGGCGTTTGCCTTGCATGCGGCCGACTCGGATTCGATTCCCAGTTCCCAGCATCCTATATGGTCCCCTGAGCACCACCGGGGGTAATTCCTGAGTACAGATCCAGGAGTAATCCTTGGGCATTGCCGGGTGTCACCCAAAAAGAGGAAAAAAAACCCAAAAACCTCTCAGGGTTATTGCAATGGACATCTGTTTCTTGCAGAAAAAAAAAATGTTTCTATTTAATCAAGCGATGTCTCTAGGAAAATAAAAAGTTGCTTCACACCGTGCCCGATCTTGCGCAAATACCCCGCATGCTTTTAAGTCCGTCCGTAGGGGCCACGTCGATCAAACGTAATGCAGACTGGGCTGGTGCACTTCCTCCATAGATGCTGCAGCATTAAATTTTAGTCAGCTTCGGCTGACTTTGCTTATGAAATTTGAGCATATGGCATTCAGTACTTGAAAAAGAACCACTAGCTGTTTTTCTTTTGATAAAAAAATCTGGGTCCTTCTACTGAGACAGGCCGGAGCTTCCTACTGTCCTGAGAGAGTGGGTTTCTGTGGTTTGCCCTGCCTCCCCAAGCCCCAACCCACAAAGTTTCCCATTCTCTATTTATAGTTTTTGGGCCACACTTGCAGGTGCTCAGGGATAATTCCTGGCTATGCACTCAGAAGTCACTCCTGGAAGACTTGGGGACCACACTGGGTTCCGAGGATCTATCCTTGTCTGACTGCAGAGTATCCTACTCCTGACCCCCCATTCTCCTCCGACACACTCTCACATCTGTCCAAAGATCCACTTCCTAAAGCGCTGGCAAGCAAAGGTGTCCTGATGAGCACTAAAAGCACTAGAGGAATGATTCCGTATGGACCATGCATCAGCTCTGAGATACCTAAGCACATTTTCAGCAATTATATCCATCAGTTCTAGCCGGGGTCTGACGAAAAAAATGATATTCTTGACATCCGCTGCTTGCAAGCGGCTTCCTTTGAGTGTGAACATTTACTCCACCTCATGTTCCTAGGAAAGTACACATACAAATGGTGAACAGAACCCCTAAAGCTTAGCAGCCGACCCAAACTCGGACATCACTGCAGGCAGCCAACCCGGATTGGATTGCCGGCCTCCCACACCGTCCCCAAACACCACCAAGAGTCATTCCTGAGTGCAGAGCTAGGGGTAAGTCTGAACACTGCCAGGGGTGGCCCAAACAAAACAGACCAACAACAAAAACTCAGGTCTTCTAACACTCCCACTCCAAAGCACAGTAGACTTTAGTGTTGAGTCAGAGAATGCAGGGGTTATGGTACATGCCTGACACATGACTGCCAAATACGCCCCCTGGCACCACAAGGGTCTCAAGCATTGCCATGTGCATCCCAAGAGAGGCCACTGGAGTGGCCTGGGATATCCCTGCCACCACAGCGCCAAGCCTCATCGAACTGCTAAGAATCACCACCAGGAGGTGCCCTGGGGCAGTGCTCAGGAGACCCGGGGCCAGGGAGATAGTACAGTGGGTAAGGTGCTTGCTTTGCATTCAGCTGACTCGGGGTTCTATCCCCAGCACCCCATACTGTCCACTGAGCACTGCCTGGAGTGATCCTAAGTGCAAAGCCAGTAGTAAGTCCTGAGCACTGCCTGGCACAAGCCCCCAAATAAAATTCAAAACCACTTTAGGATAAAAATTTAGATTCCCCAAAGCCAGGTGTATAAATTCAGGCTGAAGTAACCAATCCTGTGTCTGAAAAACTTTGAGCCACATGAAGTAACAATCAGAAGACATGCCGCTTCGTCAAGGAGAAGAGGGGGGTGCACACCCACCCTTGAAAGGTCCACTGAAGGCTCCTATGCTGACCGAGCCCCTGAGATGCTTGTGCCCATGTAGCCGAGCAAATGCGGTGCCCGCAGCTCTCCTTGAGATGGGGACTTTTGTGCTTTCCTTTCTAATGTTGGGATGTGTGTAGGGGCTCTCTCTGTCTTTGGAGAAGCCCACGTTCTCTCCTGAAATGTTACTCTCTCTCCGCTCGTCCTCTTCCTAAAGGTCACCAAATAAAATGATTTTTTATTTCAAATAAATAAACAAAAGGTCCACAGAAGGTAAAACATTTACCACTCATAACAGCGTCAGTGATTCTAAAAACCAGACAGCTCTGCACACCAGTTACTCCAGAAGTGGAACACCATATTACTCTTGCTAGAGTCCAGAATGACAGTTTCAAAAAAATAATAATAACCAAAACCTTTTTACCTTTAGAAGTGAGTACTGTGCAATCAAGTCAAACGGTCCTGTGAGATACTCATCCCAAACTATTGCCTGCGGGAGGGAGAAGCATCCCATTCTTTTAGTAAAAGCGATTTCAGTAACGGCCAATAGCAAACAACAGTCATTTGCACACTCTGGACAAACAAATCTTGCAGTTAGCAATAGCTGACCACACTCATATTCCGTGGCCTGAAGAAAAACAGTGTCAGGGCAAGGGGTGCTCCTGGCCACGGAAGCACATTCACTGTCATCCACAAAGAGTGTGTATGCAGTGTCCTGGGGTCAGACTGGGGTCATGAACCCCGTGGGTGAACTGCCAAGGAAACCGTTCAACCCAGCATGTAACAGGCGTCATATAATCCAGCGTCTATCAAATGAAAACCTCTCGTGTAGGTATCCCATAGGTATCTTAATTCTGAGAGAGTATTTGGAAAGCTGGGACAGTGTCAGGTGTCCCTGAGAGAGTCAGGCCTCCAGCTGACCTTCGCCTCTACCTAGGCGAGGATGGTGTCACTGGGGGCCAGGACGAATGCCAAGCGGCCTGTGAGCATTTCGCCTGTGCGACACCAGGGTCCTTTTTCCTCATTTGGCGTAACTGAATGCGCGAACCGTGGAGGAACAGGCAGCTGGGAGAAGTGGTACCCAGGGTAGCATGCAGCGCCACCCCGCACACGGGGACAGCGGGGAGTGCCTGGACGCGGGGCTGGGCTCCTCCTGCTGAGACTAACTGGAGTCGCCCCTGTTTTCCTTCCCAGAGCCAGGCCACAGGGGCGGGGAGCGCAAAGCCCCCTCTCTCGGGGCTGCCGACACTGGGGGCACCACCGGACCCAGAGGCCGCTGCCCGCCCCGGCCCTCAGCTTGCTGCCCAGGCACATGTCCAGGAACTCGCGCAGCACGTTAAGGTTCACCCCACTGATGGCAAGTGCGGGGCCTTGGCGCCTCTGGGCCCCGCCGCCACGTGACACCGCGTCTCGTGAAAAGAGTGACATCACACCCCCTCATCTCCCTCCATCCCGCTAGGGGCGCCGGGGGTGCCCCACCGAGCCAGGGCACAGGCCGCCGAGACTCAGCGCTCCCAGGGGCTGTACAGACCCCCCCAGACCCCCAGCAGAGCCGGGCACAGCGCTGTCTCTGCTCCCTCCAAGGGACCTTCCCGGGAAGCTGGGGGCGGGGGGACGAGGGCGCCCTGGCGTCATCTCCCCTGCACTGCCAGCTGGCCTTGCGAGGGCATGTTCCCCGCCCCCCACCCCCTGCCCCGGCTCCTGGGAGCGGTCTCAGGGGGTCCTCGGGTTCCCCTGGCCGTCTCCAGGTCCTCCCCAGTGAGGGACCCACCGGCAGCCCCAGCAGGCAGATGAGCGGCTCGCGGCGCCCTCTGCTGTTCGCCGTGCGAACTGCACAGATGCCGGACCCTGACTGGCGCGGGGGTCCCGCCCACCCGCACCCAGCAGCGCCTCGCTCAGGCCCGCGTCCCCGCGTCCCGGGGGTTCCCTGCCCTCCCCGCGGGGAAAAGCCCGTGGCTCCGGAGCCGCAGGAGGGGGCGCTGCCCGCGCAGAGGTCCCTGGGGGGCCTCTGGCCGGATGCCCGAGCTCCGTGGCGCCAGGTGAGTTGGCGGGGCCGGAGCAGGGCCGGCGACTCCCGGCGGGCGACCCCCGGCGCCCGTCTCCCCGCGCGGGGCGGACCCCAGCCCCCGGCGCCCAGCGAGGCGCACCCCGAGGCCACGTGACCGTCTTTCCTGGGGGCAGCGGCGGGCGGGACACAGGGAGAGCAGAGTGCGCGAGTCCTGGGGCGCGGGCGCGGCCCCCCAGCGCGGGGGTCTCAGTCCGGAGGCGTCTGTCCGCGGGGCCCGGGCGGCGGGGGCGGTGGCGGCAGGACTGGACGGCGGCCTCGGCGCCCGGCCCCTCGAGCGGGGCGGGGCGGGCGGGGGTCCCTGGCGTGCTGCACGAGGTCCAGGTCCAGCGGCGGCGTCGGGCTCAGGTTTCGGGCTCCGCATCTCCCTCGTCGGGGGGCGCCCGGCCCAGCGCGGTCTAGGAGATGGGGGTCAGCGGCGGCCCAGGCGGCCTGCACTTGCCGCAGGGGGCTGTCCCCGCTGCAGCGCCTCCGCCCCAGACTCACCACGCACCCCCTCGCCTGCTCGGGGGCGCCCTCCACTCCAGGTGGGAAAACCCCAAGCCCACTGAGCCTCCTAGGGCCCCCCTGCGAGGGACTGCTGGGTTCCCCTGGCCGTCGCCTGGTCCTGCCCAGTGAGGGACTGACCAGCAGCCCCGTGAGCGGCTCGCGGCGCCCTCTGCTGGCCGCCGTGCGAACTGCACAGGTGCCGGGCCCTGCCTGGCGCGGGGGTCCCGCCCACCCGCACCCAGCAGCGCCTCGCTCAGGCCGCGTCCCCGCGTCCCGGGGGTTCCCTGCCCGCCCCTCGGGGAACAGCCCGTGGCTGCGGAGCCGCAGGAGGGGGCGCTGCCCGCGCAGCGGTCCCTGGGGGGCCTCCTGCCGGATGCCCGAGCTCCGTGGCGCCAGGTTGGTTGGCGGGGGCCGGAACAGGGCCTGCGACTCCTGGCGGGCGACCCCCGGCGCCCGTCTCCCCGCGCGGGGCGGACCCCAGCCCCTGGCGCCCAGCGAGGCGCACCCCGAGGCCACGTGACCGTCTTTACTGGGGGCGCGCGAGTCCTGGGGCGCGGGGGTCTGAGTCCGGAGGCGTCTGTCCGCGGGGCCGGGCGGCGGCGGCGGCAGGACTGGACAGCGGCCTAGGCGTCCGGCCCCTCGTGCGGGGTGGGGCGGGCGGGGGCCCCTGGCGTGCAGCTCCGGGTCCGGGATCGACGACGGCGTCAGGATCAGGCTTCGGGCTCCGAGACTCCCTCGTCGGGGGGGCGCCCGGCTCCGCGCGTTCTAGGAGATGGGGGTCAGCAGCGGCCCGGGCGGCCTGCATGTGCCCGCAGGGGGCTGTCCCAGCTGCAGCGCCCCCGCCCCAGACTCACCACGCACCCCCACGCCTGCTTGGGGGCGCCCTCCACTCCAGGAGGGAAAACCCCGAGCCCTCTGAACCTCCTAGGACCCGCCAGCCACGGACTGCTGGTCGCAGGCCCTGAGGGTCCTCACGGTCCCTGGGGCCTCGACTTCCCTTCCTGTGCCAGAAATCAACCCAGAGAGAGGCCAGTGTACAACTGCCCTAGAACCCACGCTCAACGGCTCCCAGGACTATTGCGGGGGGAGGGGCCCAGGCTTTGATGCTTGCAGATGTTTAGTGAAATTTTACTGACTGTGAGGGAGAAAAAGTTTGCCTGTGTGTACATGCCAGAACCAGCGTATCATTGTGTCCATTTGAATTTAAAGAAACAAGTTAATAACTTTGGGAGATGGAGAACAGAAAGAAAAAAAAAGGACTTGTTGCACCCCCACCCTACCCCCCAAAAAAAGAATTCTTTGAAACACCTAATCCCAGGAAGAAGTGCTATTTCTTGAATAAATTATTACCAAGCAATGACAACAATTAATACACACACAAAAGGACGTGTGGGGGGGAGCACAGGGTGGGGACGGACGTTCAGTCAAGACTGGGCAATACCACAGCCTGGAAAGGACATGAGAGGGGACAGAAGTGTGGCTCCTGGGATGCATATTGGGAGAGAGACAGAGGTGCGTGTGAAGTGGGGGATCTCATTAAAGTCTGGGGTCCAGGACAGCTGTGGATGTTCGTGTCCTACTCAGTAGTTCCAATCTGTGTGCCTTGGGGATGGAGGGAATGTGCACCCCTGGGAGAAGCTGGGAGGGCCACTGGGTATTCCCTCCAACCCACCTTGCGGCACTGGGTCATGCATGTTTAGATCACATGCACTGGGCCATAGCACCAGTGATGCAGGCAGGTGACACATTGAATGAGGCATAACTTACAGCAACAAGCCGAGTCTCCCTGGTCCCCGGGTGAGTGGGTGAACGAGGAGCATGTTCCGAGGGTCAGATGACTCCGAAAACTGACAGGAGGAATCGGAGACTGAGGCCCACCTTAGAAATGGCAGAATGTATGTCTCGTTAGTGAGACCCAAGATATCCGCACACACATTACAGAATTCTCATGGGTTTACGGCAAACGGGAATTCTCACAGAGATGAAAAGAGAAGTGTGTATTTCTCTCAGTGCCTGGCTCACACTTACACTCCATATCATTAAATAGTAATCAAAGAATCTGGGACTAACAGAGATCTCCCGAATTCAACACCCAAGGGCTAGAAATACACCGGAAAGGGTGGACTTCTGTGCAGTTAAGCTATTACATGAGCAACAGCTCGCTAGGGAATAGGATCTTGTTTAGGTGGAAATAAGAGCGTTTTACTGGAAAGGAAATCTCTGGTACAACCCTGTGGGTCAGGAATCTTGACTTTCCTATGGCATGTGTTTGGGGCTGGGCTGGGGTCTACGCTTCACAGACAGGAGAGCTGGGTTGGTCCCCAACACTGCATGGTCTCTGGAGGCAGGAATGACTGAAGAGCACTGTGTCCCCAAAGCAAAACAAAACAAACTTACTTGGTAACTGATCCCACCATAAGATTATTTTAAGAGTTCCTTGCTCTAAATCTAACACATACTTAGAAAATCTGATTTTAAATGTTTATTCAAAGTGAAGGGGTTTAAGGAGGATGAGCAGAGTCTCCTGCCCCCGCGCCTGGCTGTCCTCGCCGGGACCCCTTGGAGGGGAGCAGGTTGAGTTTCCCTCCCCACCCCGACCAGTGCTCCGGCAGCCGAAGACCTCCACAACCAGCCACCACCATGCTGAGACCACTCTCCACAGGCATGAAGGTACTGGCAGAGGAACAAAGGCATGCGTGTCCTGGGGCTGAGATCTCCATGCCTGCCCAGATTGGGGCTGAGCATCCTCCACTCAGATGCTCCATATTCCAGTAGGCAGGGGTTACACCCACCAACTGGCCCCCTTCTGCCCTGTAATCCCATCAATGGCCAAGACCCAGAGACTATAAAACCCAGCTCCCGGAAGCATCTTATTATCTCATTCTTTCGTTGGACAAACTGGCAGACTGCCGAATGTAACCTGCCCACATGGCAGAGTCTGGCAAACTTCCCGTGGCTTACCCAATATGCCAAATACCAGTAACAATGATGAGTCCCATTCTACTAACCCTGAAAGAGCCTTGAATATGGCCCTTTTTAAAAAATTCTCAGGTCTAGGACAAAAGAGACATTACTGGGGCCTGTTCGAGGCAATCGACGAACAACAGGATGGTTGTGATCGTGATTGTGAGCAGATTTCGATTTTTTGCAGGGGAAGCAGGTCATATTGAGAGATCTCAGGGGATCCTCCTGGTTGTGCACTCAGGAATTACTCCTGGCAGTGCTTGGAGGACCATATGGGATGCCAAGGATCGAACCCAAGTTGGCCGTGTGCAAGGCAAACGCTCTCCACGCTGGAATGTCGCTCCAGCCCCACATTCCCATTCTTTGGTCAGGACTATCCAACTAGCCTGAGCCATCAGCTCTGAGGCAGGAGGGGAGGGCAGCTTCTTTGGCCTGTTCCTGACACAAGCCTGGAACATTGCACAATCACCTGGCAGCCTTTCCTCGAGTGGGCACGTGTGGCGACCCCTACATGGACACGGCCAAACAGACCCCGGCAGCTGCTCCTGCTGACCAGTCCTCACGGCTAATTCCTTTGGTCTCTTCTCAGCTCTGACTTCTACCGTGCAATCCACAAGTGGCTGGAGGACATCGGGCCTCTTTACCAATGCCCGAGTCACAAATATGTGGGCCCCTTGAAAGCCACACGCTTGAGATTTGGTGTCATGAGCAACAGCAGAGGGAGGAGAGCCGGAAGGGAGGTGTCCGGGGCCAGAAACCTTTCCCAAGCGATCACACTATCCAGATTCTTTCCTTACGACTTTCATAAGAATTAAATCTCAGTCATGATGCAAATGCCTTAAAGTGTTACTGGGCAACCTTTCAAAATGCAAAAAACAAGAACCAAATATTAGAAACTAAAAAAATATATGAAATTTATTATAACGTGGATAGAGTTTCTTTAGCCTTTCCATCAAAGACACACAGATAGAGCAAAGGAAGCAGGAGTGGGAGGAAAAAGAGAGGTTGAGGTAAGCACGACAGTGCGTGAGTGCGGAGACAGCCAGACATCACCAACCACAGTGAGCTCAGGACCGTGGAGGCTGCCTCCCGGCCCCGCAGAGTTCCTGACCAAAGCCCAAGCCTGACATTCTGGTTCTGGTACCTGTCCTTGGCCGTCAGGGAAGTGGGGTACGCCGAACAGGACCACCCCGCCCCTGTCTGCTCTGGGCTTTAGCAGTGGTCGGAGCAGGGCAGGACTGGCCCTGCCTTCCGCAACTGGACCCGTTTTAAAGCTGTCTGAAAACCTAACTTGGAGACAAGCTCCCGAAAGAAACGCTGACTTTCACAAAGTGCAGAGACACACCTTTGGCACACATCGCATGCAGCTAAGCTGGAGATAACTACAGTCTGGGGAAAACCCGCAGCAAACCCAGGGGCTGGGTGAGTGTAGGCGACGTCCTCGCTCAGAGGCAGCAGTTCTGCGCCTCCATGTGGGAGCCCAGGATGGAGAGAGCCTCCGCCATCAGGACTGCACGCCAACAAGGCCCTTGGGGGCAGGCAGCGGTTTCTGCATGAACCCAGGGAAACTGGACCTAAACCCTTCTAGGCTTTCAACCTGAGAGCAGAGCAAATTCCTTTTAGCACTTTATGTACCATCACACTCAGACCTACATCTGAATCCTTTACAATCTCTACCTGCCGATGAAGATCCTGGGATTAGCTACAATTGAGATGTCTTCAGATTTCTGAATCAGACACAGCTTGCCATGATTAACGAGAAGAAACAGTTCAATATTTGTTTTAAAATTTTTTAATAGTTTAAAAGGTAAAGGCCCTCCCGTTGATCGTCGATTTGCTCGAGCGGACCCAGTAACGTCTCCATTGGAGACTTTGTTGTTACTGTGTTTGGCATATCAAATACTCTCGGTAGCTTGCCGGGCTCTCCGAGAGGGGCAGAGGAATCGAACTCAGGTCGGCCATGTTCGCCGCTTGTAAGGCAAATGCCCTACCCGCTGTGCTTTTTTACTCCCGCAAAAAAAATAAAGTCATCATTTGTTCCTTAGATTTACTGAAAGTTTTTTTTCCTTCGGGGTGGATGGGTGCACACCTGGCCATGTTCAGGGTTTACCCTGGCTCTGGGCTCAAGGTACCACATGGGGTGCCAGGGATTGAACCCAGCTCAGCTGTGTACAAGACAAGATAGTACCAGTTCTACGACTTCCCCGGCCCCTGAAAGAGTGACTTTCCATGGATGGCTGCATTAACATTCCTGGGACATAGGGGGAGAAGGGGAACAGAGGTGATGAGACAGCAGAGGGAAATGGACAAGTGGTTAAATGGGTCATTTATTTTTTAAAATTTATTTATGTATTTATGTTTGCCGGGGGTCACGCCCAGCGATACACAGGGTTACTCCTGGTTCTGCACTCAGGAATTACTCCTGGTGTTGCTCAGGAGACCATATGGGATGCTGGGAATCGAACCCGGGTCGGCCGCGTGCAAGGCCCTACCCCGCTGTGCTACCGCTCCAGCACTAAGTTGCATGCCAAGACGAGTGTCTTAAAAAACAAAACCAAAATGAAACAAAAAACTGCTTCCCGTTCTGACGGATGGTTCCTCCTCAAGCCAGGGGCGCCAGCCTTGATTCTGGGGGACTGTGCGTTGTGGGGAGCATGGGGGAGGATGGGACTCTGGTGTCTGTGTGCCCCCAACTTGGGAGTTGTCTCCTGCAAATAGCACCAGGGATGAACCGACAATTTGGGACCAGCTCTGGGGGGCTGGGAGGATGAGTGGATGGAAGGACCTGAGATGGGAGGCAACCGTGGACGCACAGCAGACCCCGACAATCGCCACTCAAGAGTACAGAGGAGGGGGTCTCCCCGCAACCAGAACAGACGGTGGGGGTGGGGTGGGGGGTGCTCTGTGTCACAGGGAATTACAGCACAGTAGATTTCATGGGAAACGCATTTCCCTTCCTTGTGTCCTCCATCTTCGGCAGCCTGACAGTGGGCTGGCCTTGGGGATACTCCTGGCTTTTTGCTGGGGGCTGGGTGGAGGGAGGGAACTCTGCCTCCTGCAAAGCCTGTGCTCCCTGTGGCCCCAGACTTGAGAGCAAAGCTCAGATATGCTTAGGCCCATCTGCCTTTTTCTTTTCTTTTGTTTTGGGGCCACACCTGGTGATGTGAGGGGCTTCCTCCTGGCGAAGCGCTCAAGGATCACTCATGGCTTGGGGAGGGTCCACCTGGGATGTCAGGGATCAGGGATCGACCCTGGTTGGCCTCAAACAAGGCAAGTTCCCTGCCCGCTGTGGTATCCTGCACTTCCCCTATTTGTCCTTTTCATTCTGACTTTCGTTTGCATTTCTGCAGGAAGTTCAAATTCTGGGCTTATCTGCCCCACCTCAGTTCAAGATTTTTTCCATCCTGTTGAATTATGTCTTTTTCTCCTGATACTCTGGTTGAAGTTTTTGTTCTCCTGTACAGAGAGACCTGCTGGTGGCACCATACCCCCAACCCAGTGCTTCTTACGGTTTACTCCTGCCTCTGCACTTAGCGATTGCTCCTGCCGGGGCACAGATGACTGGATGGGATTCCTGTGATTGAACCCAGATCAACCACATGCAAGGTAAGAACCCTACTCACTGTACCATCTCTTTAGCCCAAGATAAACACTTTTAAGAAAATGGTATACAGGCACAGAGCAATAGTTCAGCAGGTAGGGCATTTGCTTTGGCCAATCTGGCTTCAATCCCTGACGTTCCGTATAGTCTGCCCAAGCACTGTCAGGAGTGATTCCTGAGTGCAGAGCCATGAATAAGCCCTAAGACATCACCAGGTGTGGCACAAACATAAAGAAACAAAAATAAATTGGTGTATCAGAATTCCATTGTAGAAACTCTTTGACTTCTTTGACTCTATAGTTCTTGATTGCTAGCCAAAAATCTTTTATAAATAAACCGGAGAATAATCAGTTATCACTGGCAAAAAGGAAATAATTTTATTCAAGTAGATAAAGAACATTGTTTGCTCTAATTTTAATACTGCTTTACATAGTTTGTGAAACAATTTCAATCGTGTTTATTACTCAAAATGTCAATGGATTACGATCTTTCACTGGTGAGACACTTGATAATCTCCAGAGGAAAATACATCAAAAGCATATATACAATTATAGAAGTTCTTATAATCCATGTAGCCCTGATGGTACATTATTTATCACGTTTTACAGAACTAGAAAACATTCAAATGAACATAAAGAGATTCAGACTGGATGATAAACTTATGATGGTTCAGGGCTTTCATTTATTTTTTTCTGATACGAAAATCCAAAATTATTAATGTTGAATTTCTCATTATACATTCATCTAAAACCACAGTGGAAAAATGTAAACTTTGTAAAGACAGTAAATTGGTTATTGTAGGTGTTTCACAAGTAGCTTGCTATCTAATCCAGGAACTGCTGGAGATTTCTGCAGAGTGCAGAGAATGAGGTGGCCGGGCCGAAGTTTTTGTTGTCGTAATTGTTGAGGTCGTCCCCGTTCCCTTTGAGAGCCGCCTCGGACATCATCTCCACTTTCATGTTGAGGTCCTGATTCTTTCTTTGGAGGTCCACAATCACGGAATTCAGGAAATCAATCTGTGTTCAAGGAGAGTGTGAGACGGTGAGCCATCTGCGGGAGCCATGGGAGCCCGCCACAGAGGAGGCTGGGCCCCGCGTCCAGTCCTCGCCCCAGGGTTGCAGGCAGCCAGAGCTCCCCTTTCCCTTCCTGAGCGCAAGCTCCCGGGTGCCCAGGGAAGACCCCAGGAGGAGATGCTGGTACCCCTCGGTTCCTCTCAGAGCAGGGAGTCAAGAGGGGTCTTCCCTCTCCTACAAAGACAAACTCACTTCTTTCAAATGAATGGGGCGGGGGGAAATCCCACTTTACAAAAGTAAGCATGACTGTAGGCACAAACATTCATGTTTCACTTGAAAACTGGCGGGCGCTTTGGGTCTGAGTGATAGCACAGCGGGAAAGGTGCTTGCCTCGCACGCAGCCATCCCAGGTTTGATCCCTGGTATCCTATAGGGGCCACCGGAGAGCAGCCAGGAGTGATTCCTGAGTGCAGAGCCAGGAGGAAGCCTGGAGTATCGCCAGGTGTGGCCCCCAAAGGAAGTGTAAATAAAACCAGAAAAACAGACTGATTTTTTTTCTCCCTCAGGGCAAGTTCTGATGGCCAGTCTCTGAGAGTGCTCAGGCCATCCCACACTAGAGCCAAGAAACACAGATCTCTCTTCCTCCAGCTAAAAAACAAAACAAAACAAAGCATGGAAATGTTCATTTCCCAACAAGCCCATACAGGGTCCACCTGCACAGCCCACATGCAAAGTTCACTTCAGCCCACAAGTGCCCTCCAGGGCCACCGGCTGTTAAGTACAGAAGTGCAGGAAGTGAGGGTGTGCGGGAACTCCTCAGGGCACTGGGACCCAGATGGTCCCCTTCCTCGGAGAGGATTCAAACGATAAGGCGATGCAGACCCGGGTGGGATGGAAGGGGGGTTGGGGAAGGAGAGACATCAAGGAGGCCCCATGGCTGACTCCTGCTGTAGGCCAGACCCGAGCCTGGTGATGGTAGGTGCGGGCACTGGACTGCAGCCAAGTGTGCAAACCCCGGAGGACCCCACCCAGCTGTCTCCCTTGACAGGAGCAAGAAGCAGGAAGGCAGCTCAGAGGACCAGACTCCCCCAGCTCTGGGCCAAGAGCATGCGCAATGAGGCTGGGACAACCACATGCTGGTGGGCGTTTCCATTTGCGACTGAACCTTCCTGGCAGGGAAGAAGCCCTCCAAAGTGGTGTTCGACTCTGGCAAAGTGAAGATTTGCCAATTTGATGGGAGCCCGAAGCCCAGGTTCTGGGAGAGCAGCAAGAGGAAGGGCATTGGAGGGCTCTGGCAAGGACATGACCCCTTGACTGAAGGGATGTGTCCTTGTCCATGGGGCCTCTCACTCCTTAAGCATCACCTCTTGTGCTGGGAGCGTGTGGGGGTGGGGTTCCGGCAGCATGTGCGCGGCCCCTGGTTCTCACGGGCGCCAGGGGAGCACAGCCCCTTCTTCCTCAGCTTCCCTCTTTTTGGCCTCTGTTATTTTAAATAATCAATTAATTTGGGGAGGGGGCTTTTGGGGTCACAATCCGGCGTTGCTCAGGAGTGATTCCGGGCTCTGCACTCAGGAAGTACTCCTGGCAGTGCTTCAGGGACATTTTGGGATGCCGGGGATGGAACCTGGGTTGGCCATGTGCAAGGCCAACACCCTTCCTGCTATGCTATTGCTCCGGCATCATTCTCGGATATTTTAAATGGTAGATATTCCCCGACTCTTTTGAAGCATACACGCATATATACATATATACATGTCTGTGTATGTATACATGCTTATCTAGAACCTTTGTGGGTAGTCAGTTTGGTTTGTTTGGGGGCCACACCCGGTGGGGTAGGGACTAAACCCTGGTTCTGTGCTCAGGGATGACTCCTGGCTAGGGTGGAACAGCTCAGGCTGTCAGCAGTCACTCGAGCCCGGGAAAGTGGGGCTGTGAGGTCAGAGGGCACTGGCTCACCTAGCACTGCACTCAGGAATTACTCCTGGCGGTGCTTAGGGGACCATATGGGATGCCGGGGATTGAACCTGGGAATTCGGTGTGTAAGTCAAACGCCCTCCCCGCTGTGCTATCACTATGGCCCAGGATATGGTTTCTCTCAAGGCTGAGGCCGGGCCTACACAGCCCTGGTCACCACCATCACCCACCTCACTCTGAAACTTCGCATTGGTGTTCCTGGAGTCCTCCAGAAAGGCCAGGGCATGCAGGGACGCCTCCCGCTCTGCCAGCAGCTCGGTCTGCTGCGCCTCCAGCAGCGCCTGGTCTTTCAGCAGCCAGTGCAGTTGCCGCTGGAGTTTCGTGGCCTTCTGGCCCAGCAGCTCCTTCTCGGAGCCAAGGCTGTTCAGCTGCTCACGCAGGGCCGACTCCATGCGGGCGGCCTCCTCCTTCTCAGCCGTGAGCTCCTCGATCTCTTGCACCAGCGACTTCTGATCCCGAGCCAGCTCCTCGGAGGAGCACTGCAGCTTCTGGATGATGTTGTCCTTGTCCTTGGCCAGGGATAGGTTCTCCAGAACCAGCTTCTTGACATGCTCCTCCAGCTGGCCCCTCTCCTCCAGGCCCTTCTTGCACTCGGCCACCAGGCTGCTCTTGCTCATCTGCAGCTCCTCCACCAGGGCCTGCAGTCCCAGCTTGGTGACCTGCAGTGCGTCCTTCTCCGCGCCCACCCTCTGGAGCTCCTTCTGCACCGCCCTGCCCTCTTCCAGCACTTTGTCTTTCTCCGCCTCGAGGGCTTCTCGGTCCAGCCGCTCCTACTGGCACAGCTTCTCCGCGGCCCACCTGGCCTCGATGACCTTCTCCTTATCCACGCGAATCGCTTGGTTCAACAGCCAGAGCTTCCTCTGCTCTTCCCGCAGCGAAGAGTTTTTGGCCTCCGCTTCTCTGAGTTTCAATACAAACGAACCTCTTTGTAACTTCAGAGAGAGCTTCTCCTTCGCCAGCAATTCATTCTCTGACCTCAGGGCCCTGCGATCCTCTGACATCAGCTCCATCTCTTCTTTGGCCGAGCTTAATAAGCAAGTTAAGGACTGCAGAAACAAAAAGCGGGGAAGAATGGAAACAAGAATGAGATCAAGCAGGCACAAGCAAGCCAAGCACTTCATGTGGCCTAAATACCAGAAATGAAAATGGCAGAGTAGTCTTACCTGCACACGCGTTATACGCGCACGCGCACACACTCACACACACACGCACACACACAAGGAGGATGGAGAGGCTCAAACACAGTTAGCTTCTTAGGGTCAACATAACTACCTGCCTATTTTGTGGATGGGGGCCCCACACCTGCTGGTGTTCGGGTCTCGCTCAGGGTTCTGTGCTCAGGGATCACTGCTGGCAGGGCCTGAGGACCATACGGGACGCGGGGAATCAACCCTGGGTTGGCCGAGTACAAGGCAGCACCCTACCCATTCTACTATCAGCCGAGTTGATTTTTGAAATGCCGTCTGAAATGATTCCTGACAGCTCCCCGGAAGGTGTAAGTACAGTTGGATCTTGACATTGGGGCATAAGATTTTTCCGCCCCCTTCAATTCTTCTACTATAAAATCCATCACTCTGTCCTAGAAGGGATGCATTCAAAAACTAGTTTTCAATACAATTCAAAGAACTACAAAAAGTATTTTGTTTTGGAACTTTGTGCAGGAGGGGAAGGGAAAAGCAACCACTGCTTGTCAAACGATTTTCACAGGGACAAACAGAGGCAGGAAAAGGACTTAGTCCCCAAAGTTATCCACTTTATAGAAAATGCAGACGAATCCACCAAGCTTTGGAGACTGAAGCCAACAGTTTTTGCTTGCCAAACATAGTAACAAGTCTCAAAATGGAGGCATTAGTGGGCCCGCTCGAGCAAATCGATGAGCAATGGAAGGGCAGTGTTTGCAGTCATTTGGGAGGGGCCCATGGGCTCCTGGAGGACTGGCCGCACACGGGTCAGGGTCTCCCTCACCTGCTCTCCCTGCCCGTCAGCAACGGGTTGTGCGTTTTCATTTCTGAGTCTCAATGCACACCACAGTTGAACAGCCATGTACTTTCCAGAACTTTCTGCAGCAAGGGCTATCTTCTCTGTCCAGCTCAGCAGCCATGAGCCGCAGCAGGCTACTGGTGTGTGCTGGGCAGTTGACCGCTGACGGCCATGTTACCGGAATTGGACTGACCTGAGGATGCACACGAGGCTGCTGGCCACAGAACTGGGCCAGCAGGTGGTCCAGAGAGGAGACGTAGCCCTGGCTGCGGTGTGTGGTGGAAAGCGGCCGGGCACCAACACACACACGGGCCACGGCCGCCATCAGCCGCGGCGCTGCCCTGCGCCCACCCACCTTGGCCTTGTCGGCTTGCGTCTTCAGCTCAGCCACCTCCCGCAGCAGGCTCCCGTTCTCCGCCTGCACCGCCTGCAGCTTCTCCTTCGCCTGCAGCAGCAGCTGCTGCAGGGCCTGCGGCGCCTCCTCGTGCTGCCCCTGGCTCTCCACGCTGGCCTTGGCGTGCTCAGCCTGTAGAGCCTGGCACTGGCTGCGGCTCACGTCCACCTTCTCCTCCTGCGGGGAGTCGGGGGCCACCGTCAGCTGCCGGCCCCCTGCCCGCTCCTAGCACACACGCACACACACGAACACACACACACACACAACGCAAACACAAAAACATACACACACGCACACACACGACCCCTCTGCTCTGCTTACCAGCATGCACACACACACATGCGCGCACACAGGGCCCCTCAGCTCGGCCGCTTTCGTTCAAGTTCTCCTGAAGACTACGAAGCGCTAGCCCCTTCCCCTGCAGCTCCTCGGCCAGGCTATCGGCCTACCAGAGTCACAAGGATGGAGTGAATGGACCAAGGAGACAAACAGGAATAGGAAGGGGAAAACAAAACAGAAAACACGTATGAGAAGCCCATGACCCAACACAACCCCGAAGAACAGAGGCGTGAGGTGAGCGTGATTGCCTGAAGCTCGCGAAGCCAAGGCCTTGGTGCGGCAGTTCTGGTGATGACTGTCTAGTGGTTATTGAAAACGGCCCAAACAGAGGCGTTTTCTAGACCTAACTTTGGCGTGGCCAGAAAATAAGAAAGCCTATGAGAAAGACTGACTTTCCAGGGCCGGGGAGATGGCACAAAGGGCTGAAGTACACACCAGGCCCGAGTGGGAACTGCAGCACCACTGGGCGAGACTGAGATCGGTCCCCAAGCTGAAAAGCCCCACTACTGCTGGGCGGGAGGACCCCAGAGCCCAGAGCATGGCTTGGCAAGGAAGAAGGAAGTAAGCAAGGGAGGAGGGAAGCTAAGGATAGGAAGGAGGGAGGGAGGAAACAGGGAAGAAAGGGAAAGGGAGGGGAGGGAGGGAAGAAAAGGTTATCTTTTTTTTTTTTCTTTTGGCTTTTTCGGTCACCCTAAATGCTCAGGAATTTCTCCTTGGCAGTAACCCGGCCAGCTCACCGAGAGTATCTCGCCTGCACGGCAAAGCCTGCCAAGCTCCCCGTGACATATTCGATATGACAAACACAGTAACAAGTGTCACAATGGAGACGTTACTGGGTCCGCTCGAGCTAATCGATAAACAACGGGAGGGTAGAGACAATGACAGTGACCCTATGGGATGATGGAGATCGAACCCACGTGGGCCGCGTGCAAGGCAAATGCCCTTCCCACTGTACTATCACTCCGGCCCCCAAGATTTACTTTCTTGTAGTTTCTTTTCTGTGACTTTAAAAGTTTGAGGGGTTTCAATATGAAATTTAAAATGAGGAACCTCTAATCCCCTAGACAGCAGTCACCTGAACTTGACGTTTGTTACATCTTGATGCGAACAAGTGGGTCAGCTATCCCCTGCTCTGTCCTAGGAATTGATTCCATTTGTTTCAGCCGGTGTTTCTGGAATGCCAGCCAAGGAGTCCTGAGTCCTGAGAGGAACTCCCGGGGGTCTCCGGGCCCTTCTGTTATGTCTCTCAGTCCTGTCTACAAAGCCCACAGCCCTTCCATCTTGGCCAACAGAGAAGTTTCTCCAACAAAGTGCCCAGCGCGGGGGGGAGCGGGGGGGGGGGGTGAGGGCATGTCCCTGCCACCACAATCCTATAGGAGGAAAAGGGCATCTCTCGGGGCTCCTCGAGAGAACGGCAGCTTCCTCGGCTTGGCCCAGATCTCACTGTCTCTTCCTTCCCCAGGGTCAGGGCTACCATGAGAGTCCATGCCCGTGGCCAGCAGGGGGCCATGCTGGAAGACAGACTTGGCCCAAGCACCCCTTAGAGGCTGAAAGGAATGAAATCTCTGCAGGGCTGGGCGGGGGCTTGTGCTGCAGGGACGGAGGGGCTGGCAATGAGAAATACCAAGATGGGCCACGTCACCAGCCCTGAGGGAGCTCAGAGACTCAGAGGCATCGAACACCAGCTGGGAACTGAGGCGCCTCGGGGAGAGGAGGACAAAGCCCGTCACATGAGCAGGTGGTCAGCAAGGTCAGGGAAAGACCCTCGCGGCCTGACTCGAGCCCAAGTGTCTGGGCAAACTCGGCGAGTATGCAGCGGGCCCAAGGGGTGGGGGGGCAGAGGTCTGCTCTGGGGGCTCCTATCTTGTTTTCTCACTGGCCTCGTGAAGAATTCTCTGTTTCAGAAAGACCCCAGACGGGCCCGATTAGCCGGGGCCAAGGCTAGCACGGCATCCGGGTGCTGGGGACCAATGACAGCCCCAGAATCGTGCCGACACCTTCTCAGTCCCCTCAGAGGGAACCGCACGGGACGTGACCGGGAGACCTGTCAGCACCAAGCCGGAACACGGCGGCGAGCAGACTGACACACAGCATGCAGGGAGCGAGCGTGGAAGTGGGCGAGGGCGCCCGAGTACCAACCTGCAGCTCTCGGCCCGCTTTGCATTCTCTAACTCCTGAATCTGCCGCTCAGCCACCTGGAGCTGCTGCCTGAGCTTCTCCATTCCCAATTGACCTTCGGAACTGGCCTTCCAGAGCCCATCGAGCTGCAAGAGCTTCTGCCGGGTGGCCTCCAGCTGTGCCGTGGCATTGGCCAGGGCCTGGGCTTGCTGACTACACACGGCCCGCAACCCATCCAGGTGCTTTACCTTCGTCTCCGCCTCCTGCAGCTTGTTCAGGGCATCCTCCATCTCCACCAGGTGCTGGTCCTTGATCTGGTCGAGCTTGGCCCGTGTGGCCTCCAGACTGTTCTTCTGCTCCCGGGCCGTCCTGAATAGCCGCGACCTGAGCGTCTGCAGCTCGGAGGCGTGCGCCGCACGCTCAGCCGCCTGCTGGGCCTTCAGGCTCTCCACCTCCTGCTGGTACTCGAACTGTAGCCTCTCGATCTGCATCTTGAGCTCGGCCAGCTCGGCCGCCTCGGCGCCCACGCTCTGGCTCACGGATGCCTTCAGCTCGCCCATGGCCTGTTGGTGCGGGGCGATGGCCGTCTCCAGCTTGGACTTACACAGGGCGATCACGTCCGCATTCTCCTTGTTGGCATGGTCCAGCTTGGTCCTCAGGCCCTCGTTCTCCTTGGCAAGCTTCTCAGAGGCCGCCTGCAGGGCCTTCACCTCCTTCTGGTGGGAAAACAAAATTTCCATGAACTTAAAACAGGAAGGAAAAGAAGCAGAAATAGAAATTTTTCTTTTCCAAACTGACTCTTTGCTTCTTCTTGTTTTAAGGAAAAGCTTCCAAAAAATGGGGTTCTAAAGGATTTGATTTGTGCTGCTCGACTGAAAATTAAAGCTGAGGCAAAGGCATAGACCCGACTGTCAGAACGAGAGAAAAACGCTCATCAAGAGCAGCCTCCAGCCCCAAGGAGCAGAGATGTGTCAGCCGGGCCCTGCCAGGTGCATGACCCCAGGTATCCCTGTCTGATTCGGAGTCTCCAGCAGAAGTGGTCCCGGCGGGGTCGGCCAGGCCGCCCCGCATCCTTGCCTGCACCCTGCAAGCCTCCGGGACCTGCCCGGGCTTTACCTCCAGGTCGCCTTTGGTGATGGACTCCTCCTCAACTCGGAACTGGAGGTCTTCCACTTTCCTGTGGGGGAGAGGGAGACGTTGTGAGGGGCGTCACTGCTGCCCCCCATGAGGGCCACCATCTTGTAGATGCGCCTGACCCAGCCCCCGGCTCCACACACAGGAGGGCTGAGAGAGTCTGGGAGGGCCAGAGCGAGAGTACAGCAGGCAGGGCGTTTGTCTTGCACGTGGCCGACCCGGGTTCAATTCCCAGCATACCACTATGGACCCCGGAGCAATGCCTGGAGTAATTCCTGAGTGCCTAGGCAGGAGTAACCCCTGAGCATCGCTGGGTTGACCCAAAAAGAAAAAAAAAGAAAGTCAGCGAGTCCCCTCAGCTTCGAGCACTGGGTGGGACCCGCAGGCTACAGGAGGAAGCTAGGCCGAGCCAACGCCAGGTGCAGTGTCATATCAACCCTTTCTGCCTCGCAGCTAACGGAGGTGGTTAAAAACTGACCCGAGGCGCCTGCCAGTCCCTCCCAGCCAGCGCCTGTCTCCACATTGGGACAACAACTGAGCCCCTGGGGGAGAAACAGCCATCGACTCAGGGGCAGGGGGCGGGGGGAGGGGCTCCCAGGGGACGTGTCAAGTCCGCATGTGGAGCTGAGGGGCTGAGCCAGGCACTGGCAGTGCCCCTGGGCACCACACTGCCGGGAGCCCATCTGAAAAGACGGTCTCGGCCAGCACCCCGTGTCCATCTGTCTGCAGCCAGGCCTCAGCCCCGCGTCCGTCTGTCTGCAGCCTTGCCTGAGCCCCATGTCTGTCTGTCTGCACCCCGGCCTGAGCACCACGTCCGTCTGTCTGCAGCCTAGCCTGAGCCCTGTCTGTCTGCTGTCGTGCCCCATGGGTACTGTGGGTTTCCTCCCGCCTGGGACTTCACCACAGGGACTCCCACAGGGCCCCACTGGGTTAGGACAGTTCCTTGCCACCCAGCACAGGCCTCCTGAATACCAGGCCAGGTGGACACAGCAGGGAGGGCCAGGGGTGGCTTGGCTCCACTGAGCTCCCCCCGCAGCCCTCCCGGTGAGGCCGCGCTCAGGACTGGGCACCCGTTGGTTTCTGGTTCTCACAGTCCTGGAAGGCCAGGAGTGCCCCACCCGAGGGAGCCCCCAGCTCCGGGCATGGCCTCACCTCTTCTCCTCCTCCAGCTGGTTCAGCAGCTCCACCTTCTCCCAGTCGGTCCCTTCCAGCATGGCCCGCAGCTCGTCGTTCTTGGCCTCCAGCTCCAGGACGTGCTGTAAAGGCAACGGCGCGTGAGTGGCCTCGCCCGCCCCCAACAGCCCTCTGTGGGCTGGCATCGCCACCTGTCACCACGGCAAGCTGAATGCATCTCCCACCTAAGCTACGGCATTTCTGGAAGGCCAGAGGGGAACCACACCACGAAAGCACCGGCACAGACAACTCGGCACTCCCTAAACCCCCACAGGGTGAGCAGAAGGCGCATGCAATCAAACCACGCGCCGGACGCCACCGCAACGACGGCAGACGGGGACCCACGGCCTCTGCCTGCACCGCCTGCACCAAGCTCGCCCCCAGCCTCTACCGCAGGCGTCTTTCGGCCCCGGCACTGCCGTCTGCACAGACGTCACCTGGTTGTGCCCGTTCCGGCCAGGGCCAGCTCCTGTTCTATCTCCCCCATGTGGCTCGTGGCCTTGGCCACCTCCGCCCGCTCTAGGTCCCGCTCGGCCAGCAGCTTCTCAATGTGCTGCTGCTTCTCCTTCAGCACCTCCTGGAGGGCGGTGGTGCCAGAGATCTTGTGGGCGTAGCAGGAGGAGGTTTCCGGCAACTGCAAAGGAAAAAGAGACGTGAAGGGGATGGGGCCAGCCGACACGGTCATGCTCGTGGTGATCCTCGGCAAAGCACATGGAGCAGTGCTGCCTCCTTGCATGTGGGCCAGCGACTCTCAGCAGAAACGTCTTGAAACCTTCCCGAAGATCCTTGGACGGGACCTGGGTTCCACTGACCTCGGGCCTCGTCGGAATGAGAGACTCTTCTGCAGAGCCGGAGGCAGCCCCCTCCACAGCCCAGCCCGCTCTGGCCTGAGCTTCCTTAAGGATGAGCCCTTGGCTTGAGCTTGAGGCCAGCTCCAGCATCTTCAGCCTTGCAGGTCCGTCAGGGTCTCCCTGGGCAGCCTGTCCCTTCTCTCTTCCACTTCCTTCCAGCTCACCTCGCTCTCCTGGGCACCCGCCCCATGCTTGAATAGCAGTAACCAGAGACTCTTGTCTCTGGGAATGGCCCCGTGCCCCCGGGGGTCACTGGGTGTGACCCTATAAAAGACCCCTGTGCCATCTGCCTTCCAAAATGGGGGATGAGAGGCTAGAATGATAAAGTTGCGGGAAAGGTGCTGGCCTTGCACGCCGCTGACCCGAGCTGGATAACAGGTACCCACCCCAGAGGGTCCCGAGCCCACCAGGAGTGACTCCTGAGTGCAGAGTCCAGAGTAAGTCCTGAGTATTGCTGGGGCATGGCCAAAGTCCAGGGGAAAAAAAAGGAAAAAGTGGTGGGTTCGAATGTGTGAGGGCTCACGCCCAGCGAGCAGGACAGCAAGGGCAGCTCAGGGAAAGACCAAGCACAAAGGGAAGGAGAGAAGAGGCAAAGACAGTGAGGAGGGGAGGGGAGTGGGCTGAAGGGCTGCGGGGACCGGGGGTCCCGTCCGTTCTATCCTGGGCTCGTGGTCGCTCATGGTCGCTCTGCAGACCCAGATCCCTCTCTGCACAACGGCCCCTGCAGGAGGGGACAAGACGGGACCTGATCTTCATTCTTCGGGCACATGGTGGCGGGGGCTGCAGCGGGGATGGCCAGGACTTCCGCTCCTTCTGCCCGGCCATCCCTGTTCCATCACCCTGCTGCGGTCCAGCCGCAGGTTCTCTTGCCGCTTCCCCGTATCATCTGAGCTGCTGCCAAACGCCTCCTGACTGACGGGCCCAGCAGGGCCCAGTCTGTCCTCTGCTGCTTTGCCTGCTGGGAGCTCTCGAGCCACCTGCTTCTGTCCAGAGAGCGGGATCATCCTTGCCTGTGCGTAAGGACCTGGCCGTGATTTCCCGATACACTTGAAGTATATCTGGTCCGATTAAATGCCCTCCCCAGGGCCAAAGAGTCTGTTGGGGGGGGTGGGGGAAGGTGCTTGCAGAGGTTCAAGATCCCGCACCATCAAGAGTGACCCCACCCCCCAAGCAGAGAGCCAGGAATAAGCCCTGAGCACCCCTGGGTGTGACCCCAAAACCAAATAATAACTAAAATTTCTAGGAGCACACGAGCTCTCTGGCCAGCCATGTGCAGTGCTCCCAGGAACTGCAGTCAACTCGGATTTCAAGGGGTGGCTGGGAAGAGCTTGCCAGCCTTGGGGGTCTAACACCAAGACCTGGGCTCATCCCCCCTCCACCGGGAGCAGCCCCCAAGCACCACGCCTGGAGTCCCTGAGCACTGCCAGGTGAACCCCAATGAGCAAAAATAAAAACTAGGAAAGGCAGGCAGCGGTGTTCCCTGAGCCTCCTGGCCTGAGCGGGTGGGGCAGGCCAGACGCACGCGCTTCCTGGGCTCAAGACAGCTCCCTGAGGAAACCAGCACAAGAGCGATGGGCTTCTTTCAGCCAACTATGGAGACGAGACTGTGAGGTTCAGGCGCCGGAGCAGGGAGAAAGCAGCACCCCTAGCATGGGGGGAGGCGCGTGCTGAGGGGCTGGGCAAGGTCGGGGCCACGAGCTGAACTCAGGATGCTGATGCCAAAGCCTCTGCCCGGCGCGTGGTGTGTGAGGCCCCAGGCTCCATCCCAGCAAGGCCAGGCCTTCTGTGGGAGCCTGGTACCTCAGAAGAGCAACTCAGCCAACAGACGAACAGGGAGGCCTCCACAGGGCACGCACGGACCCGTGTGCATGTATGTATGCGTGCATGTATGTTCCGGTGGGCATATCTACACGCACCTGTGTGCATGCGCGCGTTGTGTTTATGCATGTATGTGCCTGTGTGTGTATACCCATAAGCCTGTGTATATACGGTATGCACTACGTGTACATGTATGAGTGACTGTGTGTATGAACGCTTGTGTGTGCACTTATGGAATTAGGTTGTCGAGGTATACTTCCGTGAAGTCACACAGAATCTTTCTATATTCCTGTCATAGACGCTAACGGTGATGTTCAGTTTAGGAGTGAGCTCCACCCTGCATAAAGATATGCAAGGCAGGGGCCAAAGAGCTGGAGAGCGAAGCCCCAGCGCTGCCCAGGCTCAATCCTGGAGGCCCGCCGGAATAATCCCGAGCACAGAGGTGGGAGAAAGCCCTGAGCTCTGCCAAGTGTGACCCCAAAACAGAACAAAACAAGATAGCGGGGGGAGGCTGGAGATACGTCTCAGGCGTAGGGCTCTTGCTTGGAGGTGGGAGGCCCCGGCACAACCCCAGCACTGCAAAGGGCCCCTTGAAGCACTGTAGGGTGTGGCCAACAGTCAAGCAGAAAAACAAAACCAAATTCCACAAATGGGCTGGTTCGCGAGGGAAGGAGAGGGGCTTCTGAGTCTGCTCGCCTCCTAAATGGTGAGGCGAGGTGAAGGAGGAGTCGGACGTGAGGATACAGGTGGGGGAGGGAAACCTGGTGGTGGTCGAGCAAGACAGGACTGGCCCCAGGCCTGTGCCCACGGCGCGTGGCCTCCTGGCTCCCGTTCCCGTGTCATCTGTTTTGTATCTTCCGTTGCACACACACTCACTCCCTCCTCTTCCGCATCAAGGGTCAATGCACGGAGCAGAAGTGGCGGCAGGAAGCGCAGCCCCCAGCAAAGTCAGCCCCCCGGGACACCCTCTCCATCGTGGGCCCGTTTCCCTGTGGACAATATCTCAGGGCACCCTTGCATATTCAGACACACTTTAGTGTTTATGACTCAGATAGACGTGAGGGGAGAAGCCATGAGGCCCCAGCTTTGACTTGCGGGACCGCAATGGACAGAAGTCGAGGCCACTCTGCATGTGGACAGCAGTGCAGAGGGACAGGAGGGAGCAGGGAGAGACGGAGAGAGCAAAGAAGCAAGATGAAGGGCCAAGCATTCCCCAGAGTCTCTGTACCCTGCTCTGACCCTCAGGCGCCCCCTTCAGTTACCCCACTTCATCCCGAAGTTGGCCTGAGGCCAGAGAGGAGCCCTGAGCACCCGAGGAAAGGCCTGTCCCTGCTCCTGTCACCGGTGGTGGCTGGGAAGCCACTCGCCTGCCACCCGGAGCTGCTCAGCCCACGTGCTCCTGCTCCGCCTCTCGCCCCTGGGGCTGTGGGAGTCTGTGGGGGCCCGAGCACCCCGCAGTGGTGGGGGGCTGCTTACTAGTCCCGTGCGGCCGGGCCTGCTGCTCACGGATGAGGCCCCGGAGCTGACGGAGCTGAGCGAGGAGGCCGAAGGGCTGCGCTTCAGGCTGGCGGGGGTGGTGGCCATCACACGCCTCACGGCGGCCACCTTGCCCTTGGCTGGAGTCGCGGACGGGAAGCCGATCCTGGTGACTTTGTGAATGGGAGCAAACAAGCCATACTTGGGCTGACACTGGAAGTACCTGCGGACAACGAGGAGGGGGGGACAAAAACACCTTCAGCAAGAGACACAAGTGCCGACCGAGAAGTCCACTGAGTCCCACAGTCTCACACCCCCACAAACGAACACGCTCCCACAGCCCCACATGCCCACACACTCACACCACGACAAACACACTCACACACGCACCCCAAACAACACTCCCACACTCTCACACTCACACCCCAACAAACACACTCACACACGCACCCCAAACAACACTCCCACACTCTCACACTCCCACCCCAACAAACACACTCACACTCACACCCCAAACAAAACTCCCACATTTCCACAGCGCCACACTCACACTCACTCCCCAACAAACATCATACCCTCCACCAGCCCACACTCACACACACTCACAACCCAACAAACACACACACACCCCAACCAACACTCCCACACATAAACACCACAACCAACACACACTTACACTCACACCCCAACCAACACTCCCACACTTCAACACTCTCACAGCCCAACAAACACACTCACACCCCAACCAACACTCCCATACTCTCACACTCCCACCCCATTAAACACACACTCACACCCCAACAGACACTCCCACATGTCCACAGCCCCACACTCACACACACTCACTCCCCAGAAACACTCATACTCACACCCAAACAAACACACACTCACACACCCCACCGACACTCCCACACCCACACACACTCACACCCCAACCAACACTCCCACACACCCACAGCCCCACAGTAACACACACGCACACCCCAACCAACACTGCACGCTCTCAAACCAACACTGGCACGCTCTCATTCCCCACAAACACGCTCACACCCCCACCAACACTCTCATGCCCACGCCCCCACCAACACTCTCACAGCCCCACACTCACACGCTCACATACACACTCCCTCATACATTCACACCCACACTCGCTCGCATGCCGCCCACCCCCACCACGCAAACCAAGGGCGATTCCAAGCAGCCTCCCCGGCATCTGAAGGGTGACAGCAGGCCCGGGGGGTTCCTGCGGCCCGAGCACAACTGCATATGGGGGCCCCAGGCTGTACCCACATCCCTGCAGGGTCCCCGAGTGCCACCGGAAGTGGCCCCGCCTAAGAACCAAGTGAAGTGGCCTGCAGTCCCCTCAGCGCCTCCCGGGCACCGTGCAAGGCCCCAGGTTGTCTGGGGGGGCAGGGGGACCCACCTCGTTCCGGCCACGGCACCATCGTTCTTGCCCAGTGGCTTGTCCAGCTCTATGCCGCACCAATCCCCCTTGGCGAAGTCCGTCTCCCCGAGGAAGCGCACCACACCGGCCTCCATGCCTCCCACCTGCCGGAGGGATGGAGGGACATGGGTCAGGCACCCTGGACTGAGCACAGCGCCCCCACCCCCGCAAACGAACATTCTGGCTTCAGAGTCGGGATTTCCTGAAGAAACCCCAAAGGTCAAGGTGCCATTTGCCCCCGCAACCCCTACAGGGTGAGCAGACGCTGCTGCTCTTTGTCCATGCAAGGCAGCGGCATTCACACCCACTCGCTGTCACCGGTGGCCTGGCTGACCACACCCCCAGGAATCTCTGACCCAGGCCAGCCCCCTGGTGTGGCGAGGGGGTCGCTGCCCCGTGGGTGTGGGACTGGAACAGTGGCAACCCCACCACTGGAGAACAATTAAGCCAGAAACCAGCTAAAGGAAAATGACTGTTCTCGTATCTTAGCAGAGTTCGATCTTCCAGTTCTCCTTCACTATGCCTTGGCTTGACGCTTGGCTCCCGGGACACAGAGCAAAACAGAATCACAGCGTTGGACACTGACGGGAATGCTGACAAACAGGGCTGGAGCACCGGGGGAAGGGCACTGGCTTTGTGTGCGACCACCCTGTGATGCCCCAAGCAAAAACATCGAAAACCAGAGAAATAGAACCGATTTCCAACTTTGTTCATTGGTTTGTTTTTGAGTCACAGTCAGAGTGCTCGGGGCTTACTCTTGGCTTGGTGCTCAGGGATCACTCCGGGATGTGCTTGGGGGACTGTACATGGGACCAAGACTTAAACCCCGGGTCAGAGGCGTGCAAAGCATGACCCCTCCCCACGGCATGACCCCTCCACCCTGTTTTGGCTAAACTGGTAAAACTGGCAGTATCCCCGCACGCATCCATCACGCTGGAAACTGCAGGACCAGGCGTCCCGGCTGCTCGTGCTTCCACCCAAACCGCGAGTCTGGAGGAGCTGATGAACCAGACAGGCGAATGGACAGTCACCGCGACCGCTGCCCTCGGCACTCACCAGCACCTGGTCCCCGAGCTTCAGCTCCCGCTCCCCTTTCTTGAGGGAGCCGGCCTCAGAGAGGTTGGAGATGGACTCGCTGGCCGTCCTGGTCAGGCTGCTGATGTGAGGGGTGGCCGGTGACTCCTTCGCGGGGGACTGCGGCACCTTCGCGGTGCCGGCAAGGGCCGGGGAGGCCGACAGGGGCGGTGTGGCCCAGGCGGCAGGCGCTGGCTGCCGGCAGTTGGTCTCATCGTCGGCCTGCAAGCTCCTACTCAGCTTGGACGGACAGGTGAAGATGCCCTTCAGCGGCTCGCACTGGAAGTAGCGCACACCCACCACCAAGCCGTCGTTCTTGCCGATGGGCTCGTCCAAGACGATCCCCGCCCACTGACCAGGGGCAAACTGGGTCTCCCCGAGGAACTGGATGAATCCAGGCTTATTCCCGTTCACCCAGACTCGTTCCCCGACCTGGAAGTCGCCCACAAACTCCTCCTGCATCTCCGAGGAGGGGGCGCTGGGGGTTTTCTCCCCAGGCACGGTCTTCTCAACGGGAGCAGCCGCTGGAAGAGCAGAAAGGGTCAAAAGGGTCAGAAGGGACAGGAAGGGCCTGTGCAGGTCCAGTTAAAGTGTGGTTGGGGGAGAGGGACACCCAGCAGTGCTCGTGGCTACTCCCAGCCAATGACGGGGGCTGCTTGTGGCGAAGCCTGGCTGGGCCAGCCGTGAAGCGGACGTGCTCACCTACCGCAGCATCCCAGGCCACAGTCATACTTTGGGCAGCTCAGGGGAAATCTTTGGATACACCCCGTGATACTACGGACCAAGCCAGGTGAAAGCTCGAACCCAGTGTCTTATTTCTGCTGTGTCCACTGGCCCATCTTCTTTTTCTTTTGGGCGGGGAGCAACCCAGCCAATGCTCAGGGCCTATTTCTGGTTCTCCGTTCAGGGTTACTCATGGTGAGGTTGAGGGTGGAGAGTCACATGGGGTGCCAGTTGCCCTCCCCACTGTACTGTGGCTTTGGCCGGCAATGAGGCCCTCCATTCCAGGTGAGTCCACCTCCCTAAGCCTGTCCCCAAGCCCGGGCAAGGGAGCTAGCAGTTAGAAGGGAGCGGGTTGGTCGCCTCGGCTGTCACCGGTTGCCGTGACACTAAACTCACAGAACGTGACACTCGTGTGTGAGAGCTGTGTCCCAGAGCCACGGACGTGTCTACAGCTCAGGGAGCCCTTCCTGGGCGAGGACTCGGGATGCGGTTCCCGGGTGGGAATGAGTCTCCGTTGGCCTGGGCTGAGCACACTTACTGGCCGACGGTGCCTTCAGGGCCCAGCTCCCATGCTTGAGGATCTTGGTGGGGGCCTTCAGCCCCCAGCAGACTCATGGTCTGGCGGTCAGACGCTGCCGCGGCCACTACCCGGCCCCGACCATCGAGCCCACTGTGGGGCCTTCTGAGGCACACTCGTTCTCAGGACTAAATCTCTGAAGAGCAGAGGAGAGAGTCTGTCTCAGGCGAGCGACCACAGCAGCTTCCGGAGCCCAGAGAGCTGCCAGTCTGGCACTCGCCACCCCGAGTGCGACCCCTAGCCTCCCGCACAGCCCCCTGAGCCCACCAAGTGTCATTCCTGTACAAAAACTCAATCCCAAACAGACAAACAAACAACTGCCGATTCGGGGCCAGAGAGCAGAGGGGACAGGTACTTGCCCTGCGGGCAGCTGACCCTCACGCCCTCCCTGCCATCACTCCCACCACCAAACACATTCAGGAGCCAGAAATCATCCCTGAGCACCGCGAGTGTCACTGACCACCTCCCCGTCCAGACACTGACGAGCCGGCAGGCGACTCAGCAGTGATGGCTGGTCTTGTGTGTGCGTGTGTCCGTATGTACATGTGTGAGAGGCCCGGGGTTACACGTAGAAGCTAAGGCAAGCAACAGGCACACTTGTTTCTATGGACTGAGAACTGCAAGGGAAAAGGGCCCAGCAATACTGCGCCAAAGGGGGGCTGGAGAGCGATAGCACAGTGGGAAGGGCATTTGCCTTGCACGTGGCCGACCCAGGTTCGATTCCCAGCATCCCATATGGTCCTCTAAGCACTGCCAGATGTGATTCCCGAGTGCAGACCCAGGAGTAAACACTGTGCATCACCAGGTGTGACCCTAAAAGAAAAAAAAAATTGTGCCAAAGGGGAGCGAAGGAGTTTTCGGCATTTCCTTCATTCCTTGTGACACTGCCCAGGTTTGATAACCACAAGCCAGTATTAACTCCATTTCTTAACCCACGGAACTGAGGCAGACAGGTAGATGGGGGAAGCGTCCCCATGGCGATGGAACTCCGAGAAAGTCAACAAAAGCTTCATGGCCACCAAAAGACTACCTGAGTGCACAGGACCCAAGGTCTTGTCAAAATTAACCCACATTATGAGGCCCAGAGCAGGCTGGACCCCCCGAGGGAATAGGAACACAAAGGGCAGGAAAGGAATTTCTAAGAGGACCATGGACCACTCAACTCTACCCCCTTGGCAACCACCCTAGCAACGGACTCTAGGTAGCTAGAAACTCCCACCAGGGGCAGCCTGGGGAAATCCCTAGATTAGCCACCTTGAACTAAGGGAGGGCGCTCATGTGTGCCCGAGCCCAGGTACTGCTCTTGCCTATGAGGTCCATCATGTCACGGGCTTCTCCCCTCCTGTGGTGTGGACTTTCAGACCGAATGCAACCTAGCAACATAACATGTTCAGTGGCTTTCTGCACCTCTGGAGAAGCCGCACTCTCTCTCGAGCGTGTTACTCCCTCCCTCCTTCCCCTTCCTAAAGGCCTCCAAATAAAATGTTTCTGCTTCATGCTCATCTCCTGAAATGCTTTTCTGCGAGGAGGACAAAGGCCCGGGGGCCTGAGGAGGTCGAGGATCAACTCCCTTTCCCTGAAAAGGGCAACCCCTCACTCCGGCCCAAGACCCCGGGAAGGCCTAGTGGGCGTCGTGGGGCTGCCGGGGCTCATTGCACTCAGCAGTGCCAGCGCTCCAGCCAGTCCCGGGGGAGTGATATCTTCTCCTCTGCTTCTCATCAGCCCCCCATGAGGGCCCACTGACTTCAGAGTCATTCCATATTTCAATAGAGAATTCCGCAAGGGGCAGAGAGGCAGGACAGTGGGGAGGGCGCTTGCCTTATATCCAGTTGTCCTGGGCTCGATCTCCGTCAGCACAGGGACGTTAGCCGGCCAGGGTCACCCCTGGGCACAGCCACGTATGGCCACCCCACCCCACCGCACCCCCACCCCACCCCCAAAAATATATATATAACTACTCAAAAAACTTAAACTAACTAAAGATTCAAAACTATCATACACTAAAGAACTGTTAGAGAAAAAAGCCGCCCGCACGCGGGCAGAAAGCCCAGAGACTCAGATTCACCTGTGTCACACTGCACTCGCAGCTTCAGTACTGAGCTCTGCCAAACAGGCTCGTGCCAGTCTCGTGGAGAGACTGAAAATGGCAGTTGGAGTCTAGAATTTTCTGAGGTAGAACTAGAATTCAGCAAGGAGGAGGGCATCATGGGCCCTTCTTAAAGGGGCAGGCGCCACCCTTCGTGATGTCAGTGTCTGGCTGAGGCTCCGGAGGGCTGCCCGGCAGACGTCAGCACTACATGGCCAACGAGCCTCTGGTCCCTGCGGGGCCCAGTTCTGGATCCCCGGGCCCTGTGAAAGTGGTTTCAGAAAACTTTTGACAAATGTTTGTCAGTTACAGATCTCCAACTGAGGTCATTCAGCATCCCGCGAGTGGGACCTGGACCCAGTGACCCTGCCCAGGGCCCTCCTCAGGAGCCGGGCCAGGAAATCTGTGAGCCGGGGGGTGGGGGGGGGGGCGGGCTGGGGGGCAGAGCGAAAGGGCAGAGGCCCTGAGCTCGACCCTGACAGCCCTGCTCTCTGTGACCCCAGTGCTGTGAGCAACATCGGCCGCACCGTGGCCAGGGAGTGGCCCAGCCCACTAAGGCCTGAGAGCTGTACAGAGGAGTATGGCCTGGCCTGCTCCGGATGGGAGCACAAGCTGAATGAGTGCGGGTCCCCTCGAGGATGAGTGAGCGGGAACCGGGGAGTGGGGGGGAGGTGGGGAGGGCGGAGTGACCTAACCTGGGGTCTGAGGACGGGACATCTGACGGTGCTCAGGGCTGACTCTGATCCAGTCATGGGAGCTCATCCTGGCAGGACCTGGGTGGGAAGGGACGTACAGGGTGGGGTGGGGTCAGCCACAGGCAAGGCAGGCTCCTTGGCCCTGGGCTACCCTTCCAGGCTAGGATACCTATTTTCTTTCTTTCCTTTTGTTTTTTGGGACACTCGGCAGTGCTCAGGGTTACTCCTGGGTCTGCACTCGGGAATCACTCCTGGCGGTGCTCAGGGGACCTATGGGGTCAGCCATGCAGCAGGCAAGCGCCAAGTCTTCATGTCAAGGTGCCCACGAAACACAGTGTGCAACAAGGGACTCTGCAGAGAACGTCAGGGCCAGCAAACGCTACTTGGAAATCAATCAATTCTGAAAAAACACAAAAAGATGCAAAAGGAGGGGCTGGAGTGAGAGCACAGTGGGGAGGGGTTTGCCTTGCTCACGGCTGACCAAGATTCGATCACCAGTCCTGAGCACTGCCAGGAGTAATTCCTGAGTGCCACGTCCGGCACTGCGGGGCAGAGCCAGGGGAGGGCCGTCAGGGTGAAATCAGCACTCGAGTCACACAGGGTTCGTCACTCAGGAGATGGCATGAATGCGTGCGTTTATTCAGAGCATAAGTACAGACTTAAGTATGTTTCCACAGCCCACCCAAAAGAAGGAAAGGGGATGGGACGTGGGAAAGTGGGTGGGACAATGAGCAGAGCCATGCACTGTTGGTCAGCCACCTGGTGACCCTTTCGGCATAATGCTATTGGTCAGAACGACCTGCTTTGATATAGCTTTGACATATATGCAAAGATTGTGCTGTTCCTCATACATCAGTTACAAATCATTTACGAGGGTGCATTTTCCCCAAACTGAAACCTCCTGTACTGGGAAGTTGCCCAGCTTTGAGCAGGACAAAGGGGGAATGAAAAATCAAGCATTCTTTTACTTGGTCAGTAGGCAACACTGAGCATCACTGAGTGTGACCCAAAAAGCCAAAAAAAAAAGAGAAAAAACAGCGCAAAAGAAAATGTGTTTGCGCCTCACTGTCTCCCTGAGACTTGAGCACTCAATGCTGTGTGTGAGCCTAGTAGAGTCCCCGGCCTGAACAAGCCCCCACCCCTCCACCCCCATGTTCCTGTGTTTGGACCCTGACCCTAAATCCTGTGATGGGACCACGTGTGTCCATGACAAAGACGCTAGCAGGCTCAAGCCCTGCAACGTCCCTGTTTCACACAGGCGTGGCACCCGAGTCCTGGCCTGCTAGCGGCCGACAGTGATTCGGCAGGAAGCAGAAGTGTGAGCCTGAACGTGGGTCAAGTCCGTTCCTTCAGCTTGGAGGGGAGGAATGTACGAGAGGGGGTTTTGAGCACTGCCTCACAAGCAGGAGGTCCTGAATCCAAGCCCCCGGGGTCAACCGTGCACCTGGCACAAAGCCGGCACAAACCCGGCAGCTCTGCTGTCCCAGCACCACGCAGGAAGGGGGGTGACCCCAGGGGGAGGGCCACCGAGAGAGGAGGGGGACACCACAGAAAGGAGGAGTGAACACAGGGCAGGAGTTGAGGGCTGCAGGGCCGGGAGCACTGGGCAGAGAGCAGCCCTGGGGAGCAGGAGGACACGCAGGCGCCCTTGTCACTGGCCACTCGATGCAGTCGCACAAGCCGTGTGCAGACCCACGAGGCTGACAGGGTGCCAGGGACGGGGAAACCTCAGCAAGGATTTTTCTTTAAGTTTTGGGCCTTGGGGCCAGAGGTCTAGTACAGCGGGGAGGGCATTTGCCTTGCACACAACTGACCCGGGTTCAATCCCGGCATCCCATAGGGACCCCCGAGCACCTCCAGGAGTAAGTCCTGAGTGCAGAGCCAGGAGTGACCCCGGAGCACGTCCAGGTGTGACCCAAAAACAAAACAACAGCAGAGCAAGCCGAAGGGCACGGAAGTTCTGAGCCACGGAAAAGCCGAGGTTGGTGCCCACTCGCCCCCGCCTCCGCCAGGTCAGGCCTGCCTGCGATCAAGGTGCCCGAGTGTCTCCAGACAGGATATGCCTCAGCGGCTCGGTGCGTCATCTCAGCCTATCACCCAACTCGACTGGGATTGACTCTGGTTATCTCCTTGACTGGTTATCTTGGGCATCTCAGGGGCCAGCCGCCAATCTCCGTCCTCCCACCTGGCCAGGGCGGGATCAGGTGTCAGCAGCTGGGCCCTGAACACCCCACCTGC